GAACCAGAGCTTTCGGACAACATTAGTCCTTCCTCAGTGGCGAGTGAGTGAGGGTAGAAAAAGCTAGATAAAGTGAGAATTTCATGCAAGCATGATTGGGCTGGGTGAGATTAGAATAAACAGCCTAAACAAGTAAACAGGAAGGCCAAAACTAAACTTTAGAGGCAAGCCTCAATAAATAAGCCAAATGATTTATCCAGAATAAATAGAAATGCCATTGGTTTAATTTAGTGTACTGGGAGAACGTTCCTAATATTGAGTCCAAATGGTGTTATTGTTTTTTAAGTAAAAGTTCCCAGTGATTCTCTTTATCTTTGCGATTTTTGTCGCTCCAATTGGCATTATGGTCAATTGCAATCACTCTGAAATTTGAAATTGAATGACCAGCTAAATTGAAATGTTCGGCTACTGGTTGATCAAGCTTAGATTTTCTGATAGCTGATCTATGTTGTGTCATTCTCATACGGAGAGTGTTTTTTGTTTATCACAAATATTGTTTATCAAAAATATTACAATATATGAGATAAATGACATTTTTGGTGAGGCAATTAATTGATTGCCTTATCCGAAATATGTGGTTTGTTTGGTTGCTCTTGAATGATTGTGTAGAATCAAGCAAGGAGCATGCTTTGCATGATGAACCACAAAGATGACTACCCAAATTATGGCTGTCGCAAGAGTTAATTTGCCTCTTGAATTTAGATCGTACTAATATATCACGAAGGTTAGGTGGTCTGCGATAGGCTATGAACGGTGTATCCGGAAAAACAGACCTAAGACGTTCTGTGAACCCACTCTGGTTCAGGGCCGGCGGAACGTTTTTCAAAGTGTGGGGGGGGGGACCACTTATAAGATGAATGGGAATATGAATCATGCAGATCTGGAATCAAATTTAGGGGGTTTGGGGTCCTCCCCCGGAAAAATTTTGATTCTTAATTGGCGGGAAATGAGCTTTTCCGACTTCTGAGGTGTCTTAATTACTTTTAAGTTCTTTAAAATTCAAGGTTTCCCCTTTTGAAAACAGCCAGGTAATTTTTTCCCATTGCTTTTACAGTAAATAGGCCTTATGTGTGTATACATACCGGTACATTAAAAAAAAAAAAAAAAAAAATAGTTGCATACGTAGTTGCATACGATTTTTTCCCATGAATCGATAAATCCCATAAAGAAAGGGGGGTCTGGTGGTTCTCCCCCGGGAAAATGTTGATTCCTAGAAGACGGAAATTAGTTTTCCCGACTTTTGAGGTGTCTTTTAATTACTTTTAAGTTCTTCAAAATTCAAGGTTTTCCCCTCTTGAAAATTATTATAATGAATCAATGAACCCAAAGAGAAAAGAGAGGTTCAGGTCCTCCCCGGGAAATTGTTGATTTTTAAATGGTGGGAAATAAGCTTTCACGAATTCTGAAGTATCTTTTAGCGACTTCAATTTAAGTTCTTCAAAATTCAAGGTTTTCCCCTCTTGAAAACGGTCAGGTAAATTTTTCCGATTGTTATTACAGTAGATAGGCCTTAGGCCTATGTGTGTATACATACATAACAAGAATTGGGTAGTTGCATACGAATTTTTTTTCCATGAGTCGATAAATCTAATAAAAAAAAAAAAAAAAAAAGGGGGGGGGGGTCCGGGGGTTCTCCCCCGTGAAAATTTTGATTCCTAGAAGGTTGGAAATGAGCTTCCCGACTTCTAAGTTGTCTTTTAATTACTTTTAAGTTCTTCAAAATACAAGGTTTTCCCCTCTAGAAAACGGTCAGGTAATTTTTTCCTATTGTTTTTACAATAAATATGCCTTATGTGTGTGTACATACATAAAAAAAAATTTAAAAAAATATGAGTAGTTGCATACGAATTTTTTCCATGAATCGATAAATCTCAACAAGAAAGTGGGTCCGGGAAAATTTTCGATTCCTAGAGAAGGCGAAAAAATTAGTTTTCCCGACTTTTGAGGTGTCTTTTAATTATTTTTAAGTTCTTCAAAATTCAAGGTTTTCCCCCTCTTGAAAATGATTCAATGAATCAATGCACACCAAAGAAAAAGGGGTCCGGGTTCCCCCGGAAAATTTCGATTTCTAGATGGCGGGAAATGAGCTTTCCTGACTTCTGAAATGTCATTTATAAATGACTTTTTAATTTCTTCAAAATTCAAGGTTTTCCCCTCTTGAAAACGGTCAGGTAGATTTTTCTCATTTTTTATTTTGTGTGTGTATACACATAAACAAATGAGTATTCGCATGCGTATTCTTTCTTCCATGAATCGATAAATCCCAACAAGAGTGGGGGGGGGGGTTCTCCCCCTGGAAAATTGTGATTTCTAGATGGCGGGAAATGAGCTTTTTCGACATTTGAATTGTGTTTTAATGACTTTTATGTTCTATAAAATTCTAATTTTCTTAAGTGTAAAAAAAAAAAAAAAAAATCAGCTCACGGGTAAATTCTTTTCTTTTTCCCATTTTTTTGTTGCCCAAGGGAGGGGTCGGGACCCATGACCCCCTCCCCCAGATCAGCCAATGTGAATTGCGAGAAAATGTAACTCGGTCGGGGACTGGATAAACATTCTCTTTCCCATCCTTCTCCTCCTTCTTCCCTCTTTCTTTTCTTGCATTTATTTCCGATCATACAAAAATCTCCAGACATTATATTTTTGCCAAAAGGTGGCCCCCCGGCCCCCGGTTCCGCCGGCCATGTGGTTTACGTTAATTTTCGTTGTCAACGAAGTCTATTTATAACGAACCAGTCGAATGAAAATATTATACTCAACGAAATGAATGGGCTTATTCGACTGGTTCATTTCGTTGAGTATGAATTATTTTCATGGTTTAAGGTTTAACGAAGAACGACCAGTCAAATAAGCCCAATGAGAGTCGAATAAGCCCAATGAGTATAGTTACTGCGCATGCGGAGTTCGCTAAAATAATAATGGCTGGTTGTTTACGTTCGGGCTGAGCTGTAACAGTAGTAGTAGTAGTACTGTACTGTGTTTATCCTTATTATTTGCTCTGAAGAAAGAGTTTATTGAAAATGTTGCAACCAAGTAGTTCCTTAGTCTATAATGAACGTCCGACAAAATATCTAAATGGAGTTAGAAAAAAAGATCATCATCTGAAACCAATTGTACCGGTGGTTGCTAGTGACGCGGTTTCAAGCGAGAGGCCAAGGCGGCCGAAAGCCTCGAAACCTTATTGCAGTGCATCATCGACAAAAGTATCCTATCGCGTTGGAGCTAGGAAAACCAGGAGTGCTGGTCCTGATCAAAGAAGAAGCGATTTGAAAAGTGAGAAAAGAGCTCTGTCTGGTAGTAGCAACTCGACAAGGAATCGCAGTACTCAAAGGTAATAGAGATAGGATAGCCTATCCGATAGGCCTACCTAGGCCTAAAATATTTAAAAATGTATGATATATGAATGATGAATCTGAATGCCTGACCTAGGGCCTAGGCCCTAGCCTAGTTAGTAGGTAGTAGGCTAGGCCTAGTCTATTGATTGGGGCCCTAGGCTACATATAACCCTAGCATAGCCTAGGCCTAGTAGTAGTAGAATTGAATGTTGTTACCATCTGAAATCTATTTCATAATTTAGTTAAAACAATAATCATTACAGTATTTAGTTATTTTTCTTGCAGCTTCTAAAATTTGGATAAAACATACCGTACCAAACACAATTAAATAAATAAACGAATAATACACACATTATCATTCTTCACTTGAAATCTTTAATTTTCTTTAATGCCCCTGCGCAGTTCATAAATATGAATATATATATATTTATATATGATTTTATATAAGCATATAGGAACTATATATATATATAGGCCTATATACACATACATATATATTTATACATATATAATATATATAATTTATACATATTTATTTACATTATTTTTATAAATAATATAAAAAAACAATACTGTACTAAGAGAAATACCAAATTGTTAGTACTGTATTTATTTTATTTGCGAAAATAAAAACCATCCGATAAAAGAGTAAATGGTACTAGGAATGCAGCAAACTAGAAAATGACCTATAAATACCATAATATTAATTGAAATTTAGTTTAGTAATAATAGTATTCATTTTATTTGCTTTTAAGTAGCCTATGTTGTTGAAAGACAACAAAACATAAATAAAAAAAATGTAGGATAAACCGATTGACGAACTTACAATGATAATTAGGCCTAGTTATATTAAATTTGGCATTTTTGCAACTCCATATATTTGTTGAAAACAAACCGCGACCGAAATGAAGCATGACCGAAGTGAGGCGCGACCGAAACTAAGCACGACCGAAATGGTCTGTGTTCGTTAGTACTCATAAAAATTGCCTCCTCTCAAGTTTTGAATGTGGCAGTCATCGTTTGCTTTGAATTGATTTAATGAGATACTACTGACAACATGCTTGGAAAAATTTGGTACGCGTTGGCCTGGCCACTTCATTTGTAAACTTGTCTGCTGTTCGTAAGGTAGGATTGGAGTGAAGGAAAGTAATTTATGCTTCTCCCACACTTGCAAAGTCTTTTGCAGTGACAGAATGATTCGTTAAGCTTTTGAGGAAGTGTTTTATCTAACCCACCAGACAATTATGCATTTCCTAGGCCGCGATACATACGGTGTGCATCATTTTCGGCGGCCGTGATTAGGCCTACATTTTTTTTTTTTTTTAAAGTGATGAGGACGGGGAGTTTTATGTTTGTTTTTTTTAATCGGAACAATAGAATATTGCTTTTTTTTTTATTGATGAGGAAAGGACAAGTTTTAATTTGGAAAGAATATTGTATAAAAACTAGTTTAATTTATATTAAGGAAATGTATATCTATTCACAAAATTGCATTTTTTTATGCTGTTGATATAAATAAATTTGTTTTTTGTTCACGCATAGATATTTCCCAAATGTTTCACGCGGGCGGGAGTGTAATTTAACAAGTTTTATGTACCCTTAATATTGATTGATTGTGGTGACAACAAAAGGAATGCTTAATAATACCAGGAACTGAATCTAGATTATTCCTAGGATATCTCTTAAATTTTGTTTAATAAAAAAAAAAAAAACCGTATGCACTTGTCAATTGCAGTCCCGGCCTCCTGGACCCGGGCTTACAGGGCCTTAGCCAGGGATGTAATTTCCAAAATGGTTACATGCATGAGAAAGTCCCAGCAATGTGTGGCATCCTTTGAACGTACATCACCAGCTAAGTCCCGCCTCCTACTGCCGGGAAAAATTTTGTAGTCCCGGTAAAATGCCCCGCTAATAAATGATTGGATGATAATGCCTACTTAAAGGTCTAGCCTATGTCTAAATCGGAGGAGCATGTGAGTTGCTAGGCCAAGGAGATGAGCTTGCTTGATGGAAGTACTATGCATGCGTAACACTAGGCAGATTCCCATGGAAGTTTGGAAAAGTGCAAAAAAAAAAAAAAGGAGTGTATTGATTTATCATAGAAAAAGAAAAATTGATTGAACATTTTAACTGACTAATAGAATTGATTCAGTATAAAAACAGAAATTAAATAAGAAAATGAATGCGTGTAGTTATTGAAGCATACTAGGCTACTGTAGGTCAAATACACGGTTCACAAATTTTCACGCAACACACTCATGCCACTTCAGTCCTCGTCGTTGTGAAGTTGGAGGTGCGAATTTTATGTAATTTACACTGTGATGTAAAAAATGAAACCATGATGGTAGGCCTAGAGTACCACTAGGCGATTTTTTAATTACAAAACACACAGCAATTGCTGAATGCTTAGCCCTAGTGTAGGCTAGGTAGGACCAGACCCGGTTTGACAACACTACACCAAAAACTCTGAATAGTCTAATGTGTAAAATTCCCGGTTACATCTACAGGTGAATTTGAGGTACGTCCCAGCTCTACAGGGACAAAACTGTGTGTACATTCCCGGCTCAGTCCTGGCTGGTGCCCCGCCATGGCCCGAGTCCAGGGGGTGGGGAGGGTGGTGGGATTAATTGACAAGTGCATTAAGAACAACCTGTTAATTCTGTGGTAGAAAAGGCCAAATAAAAAATATACTTGTTAAGCATCACCTCTCAAAAAATAAAGGGAGGGGAAGGCTTTTTTTTTTAACTTTATGATTTATATCTCTGCACGCACAATCATCGACTTTAGTTTACGTCACCATTTTAGCTTGTACATAAAAGAAGTCTACAAATGAGTCGGTACATCGTTTTTAAACATTGAGAAACACATTTAGGAACATTTATGTACGCAGCATGAATTTTGCTTCGGCAACTGCCGACTTTATTGCCGCGGGAGAATTGCCAAAGCAGAGAATGGCAATTTTGCCTAGTATTACTTTGCTTCAAAAACTGTATGGGTGCAAGCCAAAACTATGACTGAAACCGGCCTTAACAGAAACTAAATTTTACGTATGTCATCAAACAAAGGTTCGTAAAACAGATATGTTTGTACAATATTTATTTTAAGCAAAGCCTAGTCTACGTGCGATTGTGCGTGAATCGTCTTGACTTTCTCGCCTATGTTCATTGGCGGATCTGAGGGGTTCAGGGGGTCCTGACCCCCCTCCCCTTCGGAAAAAAAGAAATTTGTAAAAAAAGAAAAATTAAAAAAATTCTGGACCTACCTTTTCAGGACTTGTGAGCTGAAATTTTTTTTTCCCAAAAGGAGAAACCCTTGAAATTTAAAATTCATTAATCATTAATCTTTAGTCATTAATCTGTAAAACTCATTTCTTGCCATCAAGGAATCAAAATTTTCCTGGGGGAGGACTTAGGCTGCCTAGATCTTAACACAAACCTTATTTGTCTTTATTTAGAGTATTATAATTTATTTTCCGTTCGCACGACTTAACGTGCGCATACGCGTGCGTCAATAATTATGTATACTTAAAATTATGCCTACTTTTAATTAGTTATAGCTCCTTAGGATGAAAGGTAACCCCTAATTTTTATTACATATTCTGAAAGCACATGAATTGTAGATATGATTTTATAGATCATTATTGCTGATCGGACATTGTGACGTCATCGTATTTCAAAAAAACTGAAATTTTATTTATGACGTCATTATTTTTCAACTTATTTGAATGTATCTTGCTTATTCTTGATCGATTGTCTTCCACCTGTGAGTATGTTATAGCTGAGACAATTCTCTTTCAGAAGTGTCCCTTTATTTTTCATTTTGATGACGTCATCATGGTAAAAAAGAATGCTTTTTTGGAGCCTTCTCATCTTTTTTTCTTAAAAGATGTAAACAATTTTAAAATAGAGGGCGGCAGACTATTTCGACGCTATCAGACCGATATATAGTTCGTATACTGTAAAGGGAACATTCGTGTTTCATTACCAACCAACAGGGGGTTTTAAATTAAACTTGACAAGGTTTAAATTCATATGCCATTACCGTCCTTGGGCACGTCGTATAAGGTATTCGTACTTGTGCGTTAACATTTTAAAATTGGTAATATCACTTTTCAGATAATTTAAAGCATGTTTCAGGTCATTTTCAGTATTCCAAAACGTTCCATAATTCACGCGCCATACGCTCATTTTCACGCCCAGAGCACGACTGAAGCTGGAGATTACGTTTCGGTTACATGTTTTGGGTTTGTGACACTGTATTAATATCATTACCGTGCGCATGGACGTTAAGACGTATGTGTACACATTCGTAAGTCATTAAAATGCTCAATATTACTCATTTTAAAAACTAAATAGAGCATGTTTTAGCATATAATACTTTTCAATCAGCACTGCGCGTGCTTCGTGAGGGTCGAAGTACGGCGGATCACCAAACTCGTCCTCAGTGACGAGTTCAAATCTAGTATTTATTTTGTATTCAATTTTCATCTTAATTTCTGTTGGCAGTATCAACATTTTATAACTCTTTTAAATCAAACTAATAACACTGTGACTACTGTATGTTAGGAGGACTAACATAGGAACTGTAGGGCACCCCACCCCCATTAATTAGTTTTCCAAGGAGTGGGTTACAATAATAGAAATTATTTATTTATTTATATTTACACTCAATAATTTGCATAAATGCACTTGTCATATGCGAGTACTAAATTTCCAATTTTGGAGCAATAAAGTTTATCTTATCTTACCCTATAGTACTGGTACTGGCACTTGTAGCCGTCTGATTTCAGACATTCGGCAGCCATTGACATTATGTAGGCGTTGAAAGACTGCATAATTGTGATGCGGGACCTTTGTACAGACAATTACCAAACACAAAAAAATATGGAAAACTGAATGCAATTTACAAAATATTCTATTTAATGCTTATGGGTGAAACTTTCTTTGATAAATTGGCTTCTATTCAGTTGATTTGCATCTATGACGCATTGAATAGATTTAAGTTTCTTTCCTCTTGTTCTGCTGGTCATATAGTGAAATGTGAGAATTTTACATGGATCATCATTTGGTCTTAACTTATAACATGACTGATCCATTTTGATTGTTGGTCTTTATAGAAATCTATGGTATTATTATTGTATGTGTTGTAATGAATATCACATCTGTTAAGTTACAGTGTATAAATAATAACTGTACAATATAATACTTCACAAAAATGTACCATTAAGTCTATTTATGATATCCTGAAAATATATGACCATTACTTTTACAGTCATCATTTTATGGTGGGTGTGTTTAAGCAAAGACCTTATAGTAAGTTCTCAGAATTTTTTAAAATGTACAGTAGGACTCATCATTGGAAGGCAAGCACCTTGACCGCCAAGAAATTCAACTCCACAATTTATCTGTAGGTACTTAATACTACTGTTCTCTTTTTGATGTAGGTCTATACCAAAAGATGTCAGTCTCAAAAATGGCAATGGGGACACCAGCTTTATCTCAGTTGATGACGATGATAATTATAGCAGTGAGGAAGAGACCTCTGCTGATGTATTGCTGATAGATACTCAGTCTGCTACCAATCTAAGCCACCCAGGTTCAGCCATGCATGGCAAGATATCCCCAAGAGAACTGGTAAGGCAATACAAATTGACAGGCGCAAAGTGGGGGTACCTGGTTGCTTTTGTACCAAAACCAACTCGTACCACACAGGCCCGTAACTAGGTCACTTATAAGTGTTTCTTTAATAAACAATGTTTATGATAAAATACTATACACAGTAGTAAACTGGTCAAAAAGGAGGTTTAGCCAAATCCCCAAACACACACCCTGCTGGTTATGGGCCTGCCCCAAACCAACTTGACTAATTATTTTGTACCAAGTTTAAAAAAAAGCTCAAACCATTTATTTAGGTGAGACATTCATTATTAATACTCACTTTCATGAACCTACCACCAGCTAATGATGTTGTTTTCAAAAAATATTACATTTTTGCAGATCATTAAATAATGAAAAAAAAGACACTGATAGAGGCTTTGATGTGTTGATGGTGTGTGGTCTGAAGTAGTTCCATTTATTGCTTATATTCATTTTATTATATTATTTGTCCTGTAATGTAATATGTTGTCAAATATTTAATTTTTAGCTCAATACACATGGCATATCTTTAAATTTTAATTTAGAAATTATACTTGGACAGTTTTTGTTTTTATGCCATTCAGTGGAATGCATTCTAAACCCAACTCAGACTCAAACATAAAGGTATGGTTAAAAAAATATAAGCACAGTACAAACAATGAAAAAGAAAAGAGAGAAAGAGAAAACAATGAAGAGAATTACACACAGTTCACTCGGTTGCTACTGTACGAAATGAATGGAATTAAGGAATAACAGTGTTTGTGTTCTCTTTTAATATTGTCATAATAATTTATCGTTTGACTTTCTTTTTTTTTGCGCGTAGCTTGTGCAATGCCAGGAAAGCAACTATGAACAAGTGTATGACATCAATCTACATGCCTCCTCCATCAAGAAAATACACAATCTGGAAAAGGTATGATTATAATAAATACAGTTAAGCTCAGTAATTACAAATTATTCATTTGACCTTGTTACTGTCACACAAATTTCTAAATAACAAATAAAAATAATACAAGGCGAAACAAGTTACTGTATTGAACACCAGTGTGAAAAGAAATGTTTGTGCCTCGATCCATGAAAGTTGTCTAGATGAAATGCCTCTAGCACCAAGTGTTATATGCTGTAGCCCTTAGCCCAGAAGTTTTGTTTTTTTCAAATATTTTTTCCAAAATGCCTCTGGGACATTCATGTTGCCTCAGACCGCCGGTCATGTGGTCATGTACTTTTTCCAGCCCTGTTAAACACAGAGAATTCAAAATGATTTTCTTTCTAATCTGTCCAAACTGTATTCATCAGTAATTTTTTTTTGTCTTTGTACAACCTGTCAGTTACTCCCATACGCTGGCAAATTAACATCTACAATTGGGCTGTCTGTCGACACCTTTTGATTGATGATATTTACTCTAACTTTAAGTTTAATTATTTTTTTAAGGAAAATCAAAGGGTTGGGGGTGGGAAGAGGGTGTCACAGGGAGGGTGTCAAATTTCTGGCTGATTTGAGCCAGAATGACCCTATAATAATTTTCTAATAGGATTTCATGGTCAACTGGGTCAAACGCTTTTTTTAGGTCTAACATTACAACATACTTTCCCTAGTCGATTGCATCTATCCAGTCTTCAGTAATGATTATTGATTGTGTTTGGTACATACATTGTGTGTTTACGTTGTATATTTTCTTCAGGGTTACAAATGTAAATGCATAATTATGCATGTTTGTGTGACCTTTTCTTTAATCAGGGACATTCCTTCGATAGTAAACAGCATCATTATGACTTGATAAATGCATAAATTAAATTAAATTGAATGCAAAAGTGGTTAAAAAATAAGGACTAAAACCTGATTGATTTTCAATTTCATAAATTAACTTTTCTAAATCTAAATATCTATACTGTAATTGATCGAGCGGTTAAGGCAGGAATGCCGAAACCTACTATACAGCCATAATACTGGCGCTGGTTCAAACAGCATGCTCGCCTATGGTTCTGCAGGTGGAACAAGTCTTTTTGGATATGGAATATAAACCATAGGCCCAGTGTACACAATTTGCTTATGTGCACCCAGTACATCTTTCGAGATGAGTAGTAAGGGGTTAGCCCCAGTCTACTGGTCCATACAGCCCCTGTTGTGATGGGATTACCACTTTGCAAAATGATTAGCTTCAATGTTTGGCATCCTTGGCCAAGTGGCTAATGCTGAATAAATAAATAAATAAATAAAATAAAACACTTTCTATTAATTTAGATATCACAGGGAAAAAATTTATACAAGTCTATAATTACTGGATGAGTCTGATCCTCACCTTTTATACACCGGGGGCATATTTTTGCAATCTATCATTTTTCAGGATAGGTTCCCTGTAGAAAGAGATATGTTTATTACCTATGCTTCTTTTGTATAGCAGTCAAAGTTTGTAGGTAAACCTGTATTCTATTTATATATTTTCTATTTCTTTGTTGCAGTTTAGAAAATTGAAGATATTAGACCTGTCATGTAATGCAATAGAATGTATTGAGAATCTGTCATGTAACACTGTAAGTATTATTATCATCACCATCACCCGGATAAGTATCATCATTTATATCACTAACAATACAATCAATATCATTTGTCAGATAATTCTGTAGATTCAATGTCAGTGGGAGATCCAGAAAATCGAAGTAGAGGGATCCCAGATATAGACAATCTAGATGGCTAATTTGTGGGGTGGGGGGCCCCTGGTTGGCTTCACCCACCCACTTGAATCTACCACTGGATATGAACAGATACGGTTTGGAGTGCAAATATTTTTTAGTGTTTTTATTTTCCAATATCATGTATTCTGTCAAAACCTTTGATAGACCTAAGGATGAATTTGGCAATGAAATGTGCAGTATGTATGGAAACTGAATGTAGAATATTAAATCAATCTAAAAAAGGTGTAAAAATATCATCTACTAATTACAGTAATTAAATTTATTCTTATTAATTACTGTTAGTTTAACTATGGATTAACAGTAATTTATAAGAATTATAAATGTAACTATTCGTAGATAAAATCAAGGTCTAGTAAAATAAATCTCATATTAATTGATGTATTTAATTAGATTAATTATATTGTAATTTTTTCTGAAAATGGAACTATTAAGCCATGTATTTTGATTTAATTTAATAATTATAAATTTTAACATTGGTCTGTGGTTTTGTTTGTTTTTTTATTTATTAGGTTTTCCCACACACAAAATAATAATATAAACAATTTATAAGTAATATAAAACGGATTAAAAAAGGGAGAAAATAAGTAAATAAGATTGTGTGGATGGGGATCACATAAGTTTGAGAACAAAATTTACGTCCCTGTCACCGGCTAAAAATCAGAGTTATGTTTGTATGTGGTTTGCTACTGCTAACTCTTCTTGGTCTATTGCATGAAAACACCAATTTTATCAAATAATTGTAGCTGATGATTACTTGATACTATAATATTTTCATCCATAATCAATTATTAAACTCTGATGACCCAAAACATTACCATCTTATGCTATATGTATGTATGTGATGTATAAAATAGGCATGTGTACACACTGCCTATGTATGTATGTGGGTACGATTCAGTATGTAATGTATTTACACCTCCATGATATAAGCAGTCTTCAGGTGCTTCATAATGTATTTTTCTAATTAAGTTGTTAGTTTTCATATCAGTTATTTGTCAAGATTGACACCATCTCTAGAGTGTCACTGATGTACAGTAATTGGTGTCTGTGTAGAGTCAATAAATGTGGCAAAACGAAGCCAAACCAGTCACTTGTCTCAAATCCTGTTTTGGAGAATGGCCAAAACTTGCTGGAATGTCAAAATTTTGGAAATCTTTTTTAGTGCACTAAAACCTTTAACCTGTAACCTTTATGTATCTACATCATGCTATGCTGTTATTTTCCTCATTTTCAATGTTAGAACCAAAATTTGGTGATGGTTTATACCTAAGAAATGCCTGAAATCGTAAACTTTGAAGGCTGATTTCTCAAGTATTGTTGTTTAAACAGCTGTATGTTTAAACTCTTGTAACTTTATTACGAAACATTGAAATGATTTAAATTATTCTTTTACCATTTTATTGCTCTTATTTTTCTGTTTAACCTTGTGTTAATAGGTACAATAAAATGCACACTGTTATGGGACTGATAGTGAACAAAAGTTGATAATCACTTACTATGAAACAAAGCTGTCATCATCATCATCATCATCATCATCATTTTTTTGCAAATCTTATGACCATCATCATCATTATCATCATCATTTTTAACAATTCTCATGACCATCATCAATATTATCATCACCATCATTTTAAGTCACAGGGAGCCAAAAATAATTAAATACCAAAAACTATCCCAATCCAAATTTATTGTCAACTTCCAATAATGAACCACAATATAAGCCACTTAATAAAAGAATCTTAGCACAACCAGCGTGTTATTGTTTATCAGTCTAGTATCGCAACATTTCTCTGATGATAAGTTTCTATACAACTCTTTGAAGCAGTGAGTCCCAATCCAAGTATCTTAGTAGATCATAATTATGTGCAAGGCAAGCCCTTTTCAACGCAGGAATTCTGCACGTCAACATGTATAGGCTTAATGAGACGTGTATCTACAATACTGTATGTTGGTATTTGAATCACATTAGTTTTAATAATCATGTTACTTTAACCATTTTGATGTTATAATTATATTCTTTAAATAAATCAGTGTACACAATATTGTCAGGTCAGATAAGAAAAAAAAAAACATGACATGTTTAAGTTTGTCGCAAATAATAGGAATAATACATAGGCCTATAGGTAATATCAGGGAGTTAGTATTGACATTTAATTTTAATTTCAATTTTAAAGAACTCAAGCTTCAGTTTTGCTCCCTAATTTACATACTATATTATATTACTGTATGAGACTATCTTCTGACATCATAAAAACGCCTTTTGTTGGTTAGACGACTCGTCGAACAACGTAAACGTTTAATATGTCTCATTTCCGTCCTTCTGCCCGACTCTGCCTTAACATTCCATTACTTCGAATATTTAACTTTTTTTTACTTTTCTTATTGGATATCATCAACATCATAATCAATATCTCCATAGGTTAGATTAATACCAGGGCGGGAAAAGTGTGCGACCGGCCGTCGGGAGCATTAACCACAAATCCAGAGGCATTTTAGGGAAAAAAGAGAATATTGTTTTTGTTTTGTTTTTGTTTTTGTTTTTTTAATGCATACAGGTAAATAAATTTGGTATGCTTGCTCAAACCACTAAATGTACTACTGTTTTAAAGCTATAATAGTCTAAAGATAACATTTGGTGCTGGAGGTGTTTAATCAAGATAATATTCATGGTTGGAGACACAAAAATATTTTTTCCAGGCCTGATGAATGCATTCGATCTAACATAAATTCAAGTAGTGTATGACATGCAACTATTAAATTGCTTTATTATTTTCTAAGCACAGCAATTATATTTTAATACATTTAATTTCATTCTGGTTTTAAAAAATTCTGACTTTGCAGTAAAAACTGATTTACAGTACTTCAAAATTTTATCTACATGATTTTGTGCAGATTATCATTTTGTTATGGTCAAGTGATTGACAAATCTGTTTGTACTAGATGCAGAGTCATTAATCATTATCTGGAAGATAGTTGGATGGATTTATTTGCTTAAACACCCAGGATAACCCACTGAAAAGACTTACTTTCTGTGGGGTTCTTCCGGTGTTGAGAACACCACAACTAAAAGCGGGCGCTTATTCGCGCGAGTACGGTAATTCTGTACAATTTATTGGAGAGGAAGCCATGGTATTATCTCCCTTGGAACACTAACTTCTATACTTTTTTTAGAGCGTTAGTGTGGTAGGTTAAATTGAAAGCAAACTATAATCGGATACAAACAATTCTAGCTTTCTTTCTTGGTTGATCCACGTTAAACTGTAATTAGTGAACAAGAGTGGGTAGTCTAAATTTTTTTCTTATTCCCAAAAATTATTGTTTTAATATTGACCACGATTATCCAAAGTCTATGAGTTAACAAAATGCTCTAAAAAACGGGTGTATAGGGAAATTGGTCTGAGCTTGTCCAGTGTAAGAGCAGTATTTGCTTTTAGGTGATGGTAATATTGTTGCTTGTTTCCACTTTTTAGGAACACATAACAAACTAAACTAAGGAACTATTAAAAATATGGGTTAAAGTTGAGCTTTCTTGTGCTACAATTTTAGTAGTTGAATATTTTAATGTTGTTTGCTTCATGGTTTGCTACTGCTACTCTTCTTGGTCTATTTGAGATTACAGTGATTCCACATGGGATATCTAATCCATCATCTTCATGATCTATTCTTTTTATGAAGACTCCATTTTTATCAAATAATTGTAATTTATGGTTACTTGATATTATTATATTTTCGTCCATATCAATGGTTACCCCACAAGGACCCCAAACTTTGCCATCTTTCTTACCACAACCTATAAGGATTTCTTTGAACTTCTCTTTTTCATTAAACATTTGTATTCTGTTATTATCACAGTCAGCAACAATCACATAACCTTCCTTAGTTAAAGTGACATCACTTGGATCATTCATTTGACCAAATTTACTACCTTCTGAACCAAACTTACCCAGCAGTCTACCATCATCAACATTAAATTTAAACACACAGTGTGCTCCGCGATCAACTACATACAAGATGCTAGTTTCCCTGTTTACTGTTAAGCCATTTGGACATTCCAATATTCCTTTACCAAATGAGCGGATTTCTTGAAATTTATCATCACACATTACAACACAATGTCCTAAGTCATCACTGTACACCATGTGCCCGTCACCAATTTGATGCATTTCATTTACATGCACATTCTGTCGCACTTGTCTCTTAGCAACATATACACCAGATTGGTTGAACTTTAATATGTCTTTACTGTAGCTTGATACTAATATGCATCCATCTGTATCTAGTATTACACCTGACACTTTAGCTTTCTTGCTATGTTCTTTATATTTTGGTATGTTACCAATGGTATGAACAAGTCCCAGCGATTCTACCTTGATATTCACTGGAGATCCATTGATCTGTGTAACTCCAAAAGTAATTTTCATTTGCCAGTCACCTTCTACATTGCATCTACCTGTTATTTTGTACTCTCCATTTCCTTGATATTTTATCTCAGTGGCTAATTCTTCACCTGATGCTTTCCTTAGAGTGGCACCTAATCGACTTGTATCACTCACTGCTTTACTTGTTACTTTCACTACAAATGGTTGTCCTTTAGTCACAGTAATAACTTGATCATCTTTAGCTACCTTGTATGTGCTACCTACAGTAATATTACTGATGCCCGCTTCATCATCATTATCAACTTTGTATGCGTTATCAGCAGTAATGATTTTACCGATTCCCTCTGTATTTATGAGCTCATCCAAGCGTGTAGATGGAATGAATCTTGGTGTAATACGCTTTTTTTTACTCTTTTGAACTGGTCGATAAAAATCAGTTCTATGGACCGTGTCTCTGACAGCCTTGAGATTTTTTTGTTGGGATTCAAGAACTTCTTTTTCTTCTGGTTTGTTCATAATTGTATTTATTGAGGCCAACAGATTATTGACTTGAGTCATCTTTGAATCAATATCTTGAAGTATACTATCGATGTCTTCTTTTTCTTCTTTGTATATCTCTTCTACATCTGACATTAATTCTTTGCTTTTTTCGGCAACTTTTTCCATAAGCTTCTGTTCCTGGATTCCAATGGCTGTTCTGCATAAGTTTATTTGTGAATCAATTTCTGATTTGTTCCTTGTAATAAATTCTAGTTTTTTTGTTAATTTATTTTTAATTTCATGTGCTACCTTGACAACTTCATTGGCATCACTATTAAACTCAATGACAGCAGTTGACATTGGAATCATTTTATGTTGTTTTTTATGACAGTAAAGGATGTGTTCACATTGCTTACATGCTGATTTGTTGCAAGTAGAGCAGTAAAATTCGAGAGAGTTTTTGCAATGAACTTTGCATTTGTTTTGTTCATCAGAACTTCCCTCTTGTTCCTTCTTGTCTAGTGTGTAAAGTGGATGATCCTTAGTGGAAGGTACTCTCTTGTGTTGTTTGATACATGGAGCTCCACATAGATACAGTTGACATGTCTGGCAGTGGTATTCTGGTTGATTAATGTCGCAGCAAGTACATTTACTTGGTTTTTGATCCTCAGTTTTTCTGACATACTCTAGTAGTTGAATTATCATTGTATTTGAAGTAAGCTCTTTTAAATCATACCTTGTCAGGTTATGTTCTTGTCCACATGTTGGGCATTTCATCTTTCCATGAGTTTCCACCCATTTCTGGATACATTGTAGGCAATAGGTGTGCATGCATTTCAGTGTCTTTGGTTGGTGAAACCGACTGAGACAGATGGAACATTCAAGATCTTTTTTATCCATAAACTGCAAAGCTTTGGATACAGCCTGTGACATCTGTAAAGACACATAGATAGTTAATATTACTTTCCTTTTATAAAATATAAGTATAAATATTTATAGTTAGTATTACTTTCCTTTTTACGATTGTGAATATTCATATCAGATTTGTTTTTACTGCTAATTATAAATCACTTGCAGTAATTTTCCCTTATGATTTAAATGTTAACATATTATATTTTCTCTAATGGTTAAAATGTTAATATGTTGTCAGGTGTATTTATTAATTTTTTTTTTGTTATTAGAATTACTGTATTTTGATACTGTGGTAAATTGAATACAATATTAGGTATATACTGTAGCAACATTACAGAAAAATACAAAAACAAACATGACAGCCTTCTTAGTTACTTAAAATCATTTGCAATAACTGACAAAAGAAAAGCGAGGGTAATGCTGTTTATAATATATACAAAGATAACCTGTTTATATACAAAGATTGCCCATAAATGTCAATAAAGAACCACGTATTCCCAATGGGGTCATACAGATATAAAGTGTGTTGAAAATCCTTTGAGAAGGAACACCAATGTCAATGGTGATAAATTATTATATAACCTGATAAAATTTCAGTTAAAACTAAAAAAAAATAATTTACATTTAACATTTCCTATTATCAGGTGTACTATTATGTTCTTACCTTGATTCAATTTCAAACAGTTCAGAGTAATGAATATCTGTTGATACTGCAGTGTGATCAGTTGAATGTGGGAGTTTTCTGAAATGAAATTTTGAGTGAATTGTGTCAAGGTACAAAGGTCAAAGTAAAGAGACCTAGAATATATTAATTTTTGTATCTTATCGCTGATACCAACTCTAGCTACTACCAACACTAAGGATGATGTATATGATATGAACTTTAAAGTAAACAAGTGAAAGGTTATTGAAATTACTATAATGCAACATATGTTTGATAGAATTTTTCTTCCCATAATACTTTGCTTGCCATTTGCATTTTTATAGTTCTTGCCCAGTTGACAAAGCATACATTTGCAAATTCACTATAATGTGATTTGTAATGAATTGGTGGTATAATAAAACAGAGTGATCTTGAAAACAATAATTTGGGAAGTTGTATTTAATGACAAATATATTTTATACCCTAGAAACCATACAATAGTCCATGGAAATTTTCCATTTACTGTTGAAATTTTGAGACATGGTAAAATAGATTTGAGAACTCTGTTTACAATCTAACAATACCTTGTGAACAATAGGCCTAGACAATAGACACAGTGTAGGCTAGTTTTACGGTAGACCCTTTGGGCCTGGTGTATATTTAGATAGTAGACCAATGAACAGAATCATCATCATAGAAGCTTTCGAGACTTTCCTTCACTCTCACATATATCATCTACCAAGTCATCAATCAAGTAACTCAATAAAAACAAACCTGCAATAACTAGAAAGCTAAATTCAATTTACAGCAGTAGGTAAATGACATCCATAAACTGCATACACTGTACATTCAAGAAAAATTCCCATATGCCTCATAGTGCTCACGACAATGTTCTAAATAAACATGGCTGTCAAACACATTAACCTAAAGACAAGGCTACTGGCCAGGCTACATATATTACTTCAAGTATTTACAGTAACTCTGATTTTGAGATGTAAATATTTAAAGTAATATTATTTAACCATGCATCAGTTAGAGATTTTGAACAATTACACTCTCCATTTTCAAGGTTAAATAATTGCTTTGTCTTTAATATCGTTGTTTGTTATAGGCGACAAGCATAACTCTTCCATTTACTCATTCATTATATTTAATCATTTGGAAAATTATGACTTTACTTGTGTTTTTAGTAATAATTACTATATTTTGATAGATACATATTAAGCGTAATTATCTGTTTCATAGTTGATTTGGGGCATAATTTATGATTTTTATCTTGTTTTTCAGAATCTTAAGGAGTTAAAGCTGTATGGAAACCAAATAACTGAAATAAAAAATCTTGAAAAGTCAGTTTTGTATTTCTTAATATTGCTTCATTAATAAACAAATTAAATCCCCTATCTTATTCATCCTTAAGCTTACAGTCAACATAACCACCAAGCTAATTTTAATCCCAATTTATTAAACTTTTATCATTTTCCTTCCAGATTAACAGAATTGTGTAGTCTGCAACTGCAGTTTAATAGATTAAAAAGTATAGGTAAGAAACATTCAAATATGTCACTTTAAACAAGTCCTTCACATTATTTGTTATACAAATATTTATGTTGCATACAGTATATACTCAGCTACAAACACGTTATATTTTCATTGCGGATTTTTTGGGCTCAGTACGGACTCCAAAAGTATGCATTTTCTTTTAGTTTTATAGCGTATGCGGATTTTATAAGTCCGCAATGACGATATAACGTGTTTACACCTGTAGAGTACTGCATCAAGTGGCATCCAAACCTACCAATACCTTAGGTCTTACTCTACGGCATCATTCATTTTTTCCCGTTCATTTTTTACGAGAGTACAAAATATATACGAGAGAGAGAGTGTCAACACTGTGTGTATACTATTTTATGAAAGCGAAAAAGCTATGTTCTTAAAATAACAATCATCACTTTACTATGTACGCTATTTGAGGAAAGGAAGTCGTTACAGAAAAAACGTGTTTTGTACTGTTTTGAAAATGATGAAAAATAGATGATTCCATGTGGATAGGATAGGAGTATTTCGGTGTGATTCACACCAAGGATAGCCCACAGTCTGAAGACTTGTTTCCAGTGGGGTCCTTCTGGTGATGAATTGGGCACTACACCAGGAGACAATCCCCTACTCTTTTCCGAAGAATGTACTGCGTTTTTCAACGTGCACATGGGCCATAATGCACACAGGACCAACGGCTTAAACGTGTCATCCGAAAGACAGCGCACTGTCGTAACTTACATTTAAGCCCTCCACCTGAAACACCGGGGACCTAGAAATCTCCAAGGTTCAACGCATACACTGTGGCTACCACCAGTTTAGCCGACTCTCTTCAGTGTGAAATTACTATTGAGAGGGGTCATGGTAGGAGTATCTTCGTCACAGCCCTTAGACCAGAGTGGGTTTTTTTTTTTTTTTTGGGCCTGCCCTTGCAATCACATCTGTTTCTGTGGACGATGATAAGAAGAAGATGATAAGAAGAAGAATACCTATTGAGTGATGGATTAATTATAATTTTTAAACGAAAGTTTAACCACCAGCTGAGTGCTTGGACAAAACAGGGTGGTTCATGTTTACAAAAATAGGGTTAAGAGTGGGCAGGTTGATTCTCCATGCCACTAGGAGGACCCCACTGAAATTAAGTTTTGGGTTATATTTGCTGTGATTCATACCAAAGGTATTCCTACCTACCCCCTCCACCTATCTTTATCTACCACTGATAATAGTTTATATACCTGTCTGTTCTTTCAGAAAAAGGTTTATTGTTTGCCAAGAAACTTAAGTGTCTTCGTATTGACAACAATCAACTAACTAAACTTGACGCAAGGGAAATCGCACCTTGCTCTCAACTTACCAACCTAGACGTAAGCTGTAACAAATTGGACAATTTATCAGTGAGTTTAATTAGCTTGATTATGCTATTACTATAATAATGGTGATATGAGCAACAACAAATATTATTGGTCATATCACTATTATTACTAATAATAATAGTGATATGACCAATAATATTTGTTTTTACATCAATCAGTCCTAATTTTTTCTCTACAGCTTACTTGCCTGTTGATTGTATCAATATGTATTCTAAATTCAGAAATAGATTTTAATGGTAAAATCGCCATTCATATATGTAACCCACAGATTTGTTCTTTCTATTCACAGTTTTTAAACTGTTTGAATTCACTGGAGGAACTATTTGGATCACATAATAGATTAAGAACTGTTACAGATTTAAGTCGGTGCAGAAAGGTGAGCAAATTTGTAATACCATCTTTCCAAGCCCTGCCCCGCCCCTTGAACAATATTATTGTTTTAAAGGTCCTACAAAACAATGGTGTAAATGTATGTCAAACACTTGCATTTGTGGGGCAACACATGTGTTTGTTGGATACGTGCGTATTTATTGCACTATTTCTGATTGGTCAGTTGGTTGATTGACACTCTAAAAATGTCCATTACAGGTAGCCAGGAGTTTTGATTTAAATAAATACAACACCTTTTCAGGTCTAAATTCAGGAGTGCATCAGTGAGCAGTGGCATAACGCAGGGGCCTTTTAGGGCCACAGATACTGGGGGACAGGGCAGCGAAGGGCCCTGGCATTTTTAGCGTTTTATGACATATTTTGATGCCTTTTTTCAAATTCTAATTTTATGTATATGAAGTTTAACTAATAAGATATCACTAATAAACATATTACAATGAATACCACAGACTTTGCTTGGGAAAGGGTCTTGGTTATTCATTTGTTAAAAAAACAAATATTTGAATTTGCTGGGGCCTCTTGAGACCCTAGCACCCCTTACTTTAGCCTGTGAGAGCTCGTAGCCTTTATGCCTGCCAGTGAGTTGATCTGGCCCAGCCGACAGGGAGTCGCGGTAAAATCGGCCGGGGAAAATGAAACATGGTGGGGTTGAGGAGAGTTTAGAATCTGACCCATGGGAATGAAGGACCACCTGTGGGGAAAAAGCTGGGGCCACCCCTGTGTAAATTCCAAGGTTCCTAGCAGAAGGGCTATTAGAGGCTGTCCTAGTTGTCACTGGCCACTCACTAGCTAAGCCCCTAATACTCATTCTTTTTTATATTTGCAGCTTCAGGAAGTGAACCTTTCATCAAATAATTTGACCGACATTTCAGGACTGAAAGGGCTCCCTCTTTTGAAGGTATAATGCTTTTAGATTTTTTAGTATATTGTACATTGTATATTGTAGCATTGTTATGCAGGTCCCAGTTTTTGGAAGACTTACCCTCTATTAAGTGTTCACATAATTTAATGTATGTGTACAAGTTGTTGGATATATATTTGTTTTTAATGCATGACAAAATTGTCAATTATTCGTATGACATCAACTTTCATCCTAAAGTATCAAAATCATGGAGACTTATAACTGTTTTATTTTTGTGTTATGTTTTATTTTATTGTATTGGTGTTTGTATTGTATTCTTAATTTATTGAGCAGAATTCAAAATATTAATGTATTCACAGACTTTACATCTTTCTCGAAACCTATTGACGTCTGAAGCAATGCAGGCTCTTGGTAAACTAAGGTATATATTGAGATCACTTATTTCGTTATTGTCTTTTTCTTTTCTCAAATGAAAATAATAATAATAGAAATAGTAAAAAGTTCCACTCACTTAACTTATACACTCGTTATTTTTTTTTTACTTGTCCATACAATTTTAATTTTCTCCTAAGGATTCATTTGGCGGAATCAGTTTTCTTAAAAAATTACCACAGAACCAAGTGGCGAAGATAAATTCATAAAAATAACCTTTGCACAGGTTCAATTTCGCATTTTTAAAAATTGTGTCATCCTTTCCGCCAGGTCTTTACAAGAGCTTGATCTATCGCACAACAGAATCACTAAGTTAGCCTCATTTCCCAGCCAATTTCCAGCAATAGAAATATTAAGTTTGACAAGGAATTCCATAGAGTGGCTGGAATTGGTAAGTCAAAATTATCAAAGATTTGGAGTGGTAGAGGGAGGGGTTGTTGGGGTTGTTGAACAGTACCGCATCTATGTTCTGGAGTTGTTAGTAAAAAATGTCAATTTTTTCAGTGTTTTGTTGCTATTTTGTTTTAAACATAAAAGAAATATCTGGCAGTCAGTGTGTTAACCAATTTCTATTACTGTAGTTGCATGGATATAAGTCTTCCCTAGGTGTAACTCGACCCCCTGACTTTTGAGTAACGTAATGAAAAATACTCTATGAGGATATAATTCTACCCACTAGTTTAACATTTATACACCCAAAAATGAAAGTGGTGATCTTATATACTAAAGCTCTGTCCAAATTTTCTTTGCCAAAAAAACAGTTGTATGCCCCTATATAATCATGATGTGTCTATATATGGTCATGATGTGTCTATATATGGTCATAATGTGATGTCATCATGACCATATAAGCATGTCACATGTTTTTGTCAAATAAAGTGTGATAGCCTGGGCACGTCTTAAGAACTATGGTATGTTTTTTTGTATTAAATATGTTGTCCCTGTAGCATAAAGTTGCTTACCATACATTTGCAGTGAATGTCTATTAAAAATAGTTCATTCCTCTCTATTCTTTCTCTCTATGTTAGATTCATCTTGCCAGTTGTGAACTGCTAGTTGAGTTATTTGTAGCAGAAAATCCGTTCATACAAACCATTGAATCCAAGCAAAGGTAAAGTACATACTATCACAAATATAAAATATATCTTGGTCTCTTTTTTAAACATCAAAAAGAACTGTCATTGCAGTAATAAGAAAAATAAAATTAATGTAACTGAATTGGGACATAATTTTACAAACATGATAATTTAATTACAAATTACTTAAAAATCAACTACCATGACAATATAATATAAAAAATAAATTAAAATGTATTACAAAATATAAATATTAAAATTGTTACTATAAAATATTTTATTAATTAAAGGCCTATATACAAATATTTCACAAATTTTCATGAACTGAATTAATGATACAGTTTTTGATAAGAACATGTCACTTGAATTCAATGTAGCAGTTGTTTAGCCTGCAAGGATACAGGCAGTTTTTATATTCAGCCTAAAAGGGGACAGGCAGTTTTAATATATCTATTTAGCCTGCAAGGAGGAAGGTAGTTTCTTTAATGTTTATTGAGGTAGTGTAGGCTGCAAAGGGCAAGTTTATTGCAAGTTTATCTACTGTAGCTTGCATGAATGCAGGGAGATATTTAGCCCTCAAGGAGTCATGAGGCAGTTTGTAGTACTTTTGTAGTACTTTATAGTCTGCATTAAAGCTGTGAAAGTTACCTGAAATAAAGCAAACGCGAAGCAAATCGTTGTACTCTATACTTGGTTGTTTGAACGCCAAGAGATGCTCTTAATGTATATTCATTTTAGACATCAAATAATTAAGGCAGTAGTTTGGCCTTTTGTTTCTGACCAGATTAATATTACATGGACAATTTAAGCATAAAAGTGTACATAAAAATATAGGTATAGGTAAAAATATTAACAATATTGATTTCTCCTACAAAATTGGTCAAAAAGAAGTGTTTATGTTATGTAAAGGTAAGATATAAAACAGCTATAACTACTGTATACTACTATAAACATTTAAAAAAAACCCAATTTATTTCTTGTTTTTTTATACTCAGTTATCATCATGAGGTACATGCATCGATACCTAGTCTTGAAATGGTGGATGGTGTAACCGTGAAACACACAAGACATAATGTGGTACCATTCATGAGGCCAATGTCAGCAGCATCAGGTATTATACTGTTATACTCTTTGCCACATGCATTCACATAGACTTCGGTGTAATTGCATTTCTTTTGCTATGGCTATACAGGCTTCCTTTTGGGCTACAACTTTGTTGCTACAATCATTTTATTAGTGGAAACAAAGAACTTATATTTTCCACTTCTCAATTTCTATTAGGTTTGAGTGCAAAACAAGTGCAAAGTCAGCTACAGACAGTTGAAGCAGATCTTAATATATTTGGTCAAAATTTAAGAGAAAGGTAAACGACACATGACTTGCTCTTTCAAATATGGTCGTACAAACCATATCACAGGGTTAGTGGCCATGGTTTTATAACAGTGTGTGGGGCATAGTATACAAATATTGACTGCTCATTAGGGGAATGGTGAAATCTATTGCCCCAAAGTGATGTGGAAAAAATGAACTATCATTCAAACTGTGTCATAGGAGTGATGGTTGAATTTGTTGCCCATTTCTTAACCAATCAGATGCCTAGAATCTATGTATGCGGTATATAGTTTATATAACCGGTATTACCGTAGTTAGTAATATACGCTGGGTTTATGCGCTACACACTGTAATATAATTAGTATGAGTGTGACTGGTTAGCACAGTGGTTGTATTTTGGACTCTCAAGAGGCTCAGTTAACAGCCTAATTGAGGTGGTGGTTGAGTGGCTCAACACTTGGGTCTGACAATTTCTAGTGGGGTGCAATGAGGGGGTCTAGTAGGGAAACAAGGGGCTAGAGGATAAATTCATTCAGATCATATTAGTAAGAGCTTGCCTACATTTTCATTTATAGATTCGAGAATTTGCGTACCACAATGGACACCTTACCATCAGAGCGCCCTCGTTCATCGTCAGTTGCCAGTGATTTAACCATCAGAAGTGTTTCCTCATTCACAGACTCAAGACCAAGCAGTAGATGCAACAGGTAAGAATTTGCATTCCATATATTAAAAATAATAAAAGTTAAAAAGACCAACAATCTTGCTAATATTAGTATAGTTAAGACAGTATAATACATAATCCAAGTATCGAGATACACACCTACGTGTTGAACCCTAACATGATGGCGAGCATTTCTATACTTGGAGTATGTATTATACTATCTTATCTGAGAATAATTTGTTGAAAAGATCATTTTATATATATATATTATCATTTTTAGTATTATTATTATTTATTATAAAGTTGTACTTTACATTGTCTACTTTATAAACTACAGTAATATTGCATATTTTTTCTTTGCAGTCGAAGTCGTATTAAGGATGCTAAAGCCTATGCAACAACACATTTTAAGTGAAACCTGCCAAGGAGCAATATAGTATAATACAGTACTGTACTGACTGTAGGATTACCTTCTAGGAGTCCATACCAAGGAGTCAGTCTGGGAGTCCACATCAAGGATTAGGAATTTGTCTGCTGTCAGTTATTATTAATGAGCTCCACAACTATTCTAGACCAGTGCAATTTTATTATCTTTCTGATACTTCTTATTCTAATATTTTAATAAACCTGTTTCTTTAGAAATAATGAAGTAATAAGAACAGATTCTTAGTCATAACCAGAGTTAAAAGAATACATAAATTATAAAAAAGCCAACTAAGCAAGATTTCAAGGACACGACTTAACATCCAACCCAAAGGTGTTTTGCCCAAGGATGCAAGTACTGTTTAAAGTCCAATCTCCTGCACCTGAGTTGCTCAGGTGCAGGAGATTGGACTTTAAACAGAGATTTATCTCTGAATGGGGTTTTAGACATCGTCAGTGTATCAAACCTGTTCTCAAATTATCGTACACTGGTGAACTTTTCCAGGAATCAAAATGAATCAGTTTTCGTTAAAGCTAGGCACACATTTCGCCGGCCAGACAATTCTATAGATGTAGAAAGCGGTCCAGGTTACTATATCATTATCGACGAAGATTCACTCAAGCCACTGATAATCACTAGTATGCGGCATCGCACACAGCCGAGATTGATTCGTTCATCAGACTAAACAGGGAATGACTGGCTTAATAGATGAAATATTACAAGCCAGATAGTATTACAGTCATGTTTGATTTTTTTCCTTGCAGTTTGCTTAGTATTCTTTTATTGATTAAATATATCTTCCCATACAAGAAGTTGCAAACCAATATTCATCTCCTTCTCTTTTTGTTGCTATTATTTAAATTACATTGAGACTCTAGTAACTATGATGCAAAACACTATAATTATATTTATCATTGCTTCTTAATATTATTAGTATTATTTACTAATAAAATTATTATATTATTAATAGTACTGTATTAGTAAAACAATTATTATTATGTTATGTTATGTAGAAGAATTTGAGTATATGAACAAATACAGGAATGATGTCAATAATTTCTTTGTTGTGTTTCATTTATGCACTTGGTGGTACTGTTTTAGCAGAATTTTTCCCAGCACTTTGACATTGCATGGCAACCTTACACAGAACAAAATCGTAATAAGTAGAAAATATATTCACTTCCGGTCTTCCTCTTGTAACAGAAGAAAAAGTACTTGCGTTGTGCAAGGTTATGAGCAGTATGGTACTAAATTATGATTATGAAAGCAAGGATGAACACCATAGTGTCAACATCTACATTATTATATTATTAAATTGACAGTGGGGACAGATTGAACTCAGTTTGTGATGCCGATAGATCTCAATCTTCTACTAATCTAAGCCATTCAGGCTCAGCCATGCATGATGGGATACCCCTAAGGGAACTGCAAGTCAATACAAATTGACAGACCCACGGTAGGTCGCTTGATTGCTGCGTACCAAAACCAACTCATCCCAAACCAAACCGACTGAAGGTTTTGTACCAAGCTTGAAATAACTCAAACAATTTGGCCGTCCTGTGTTGGTCCTATGTGATGGCAAATTAAACTGGATAAATTTTGTGCAGCTACGTTGTTTTCCCTTGGAACAGCTGAATTACTCTAGGTGAGGCTTTCATGCTCTTTCTGATAGAAAATTAATAAATTTTAATTTTTAAATTTTTATCATATGAAGTTCTTAACTCATCTAATTAAACATGATCAACACCTAAATTGCTTACCTTGGTCAGTAAGTATTGATGAAGGGACTTTCACAGAAGATGGTCTACACCACGTCGCACTGACCATGATTGGGGCTGAGTTGAAAAAATATGATTATGGCACCTCCAGATGGCCGGAAATGGAACTCTTAAATTTAAATATGGGGGTGGGGTGGGTGCTGGGTGCCAGCTGGTCCCACTCCCTCCAGCTGGCCACTAAACATCAACTGAAATAAACTCTGTTTTCACTAATTGTGATTCACTAAGAGAGGTGGATCCAGAAATTTTCTGGGGGGAGGGGGAGGGGCACAATATGAAGTTCACACCACCACACCCACCTCAGCCCACCAATAAGTGGCAGAGCATTATTTTCGGCCACTGCAGTGTCACCACTGAACTCATGGGTGCACTCTCTTTTTAGCTCTTCCTCTCTTAAAATCAAATTTGTCGCCCTCTTTTGTTTTTCAGCTTGACTGACCGTGGGGGTGGGGGGAGCAAACATTGATAATAATGCTTTTCATGTGATAAATACTTGTACACAATTCACCATTTGCTAATATATGAATAACTTAATGAATCTAACAGTTTGTGGTCTCTTCTATCGATGTAATAATTTGTCTTTTGATGGTTTTTATTTTGTTTAGATATTTTATGAGAGAAAAGCAACTATGATCAAGTGCATGACATCAATCTAGATGCCTCCTTCATTGAGAAAATCCACAATCTTGAAAAGGTATAATTTGTTAGTTTTAATTAATTAATTTAATTACTGCTTTTGCATGTCACTGTCATACAAAGTGAGATATCAAATCAGAATAATACAAGACAAAACCAGTTAAAATATTAAAATGAAAATCTTTAATTCAGGAAGATTTTCTTTCTTGTAAAGTATTCATTAGAGATCTTTTTAGGTTTCTGGACAACCTTTCAGTCAGTTTTCCTACTCCCATCACTGGCAAATTAACATCTAAAATTGGGTTGTTTGTTGTCACCTCTTTTTTGATTGATAATAATTACTCTAACTTTAAACTAAATTTTATAAAGGGAGTTTGCCTTATCCATGGCTCTATCTTTGCATACATAAATTAACAATGTTCCTCTCAACTATGACAGCCACAAAGATATTTTTTTTTGGGAATGTACTGAGTCTTCACCTGAGTACTGCAACACGTGGGTATAGCACAAATCTCCGATGGTATTTTCTGGGTGCATACACATCAAAAGTGTTGTAGTAGCTGCTGTTATTTGGGTTTTTTTTTTCGTTCTTTCTTTTGTTCTGTTTCTTTTTTACGGTGTAAATATAATATTTAATTGTTTTAAGTATTAGCAGGCTTGCCTGACACAACTGTAAATTAGAGCCATCCAATTGCCTCTTTCTTAATACATTTGAAGCTACTGATTTATTGATTGTAATTATTATTTTGAAAAAAAAAAGAAAAAAATGTAACTTGAATTGGATTCTACTCTAGTCTATGTGTAAGCTTGGTTGTCTAGTGTTTATGGCACTAGGCTAGTTATCTGGAATTTGATTGTTGGATTCCCACCCGAATCACAAATTTGTAATGAGTACTCAATATGATAAAATGTCAAGTAGGGCAAAACATAACTCCTGTGGAATTTTTCTGACTCAAACACATAAAAATAAGGTCTTTAATATATGCCAATAATACATTTATTAAAATATGAACAGGAGATAATATTAATTATTGTTGTTAAGTCCAAGGAGGAAGATTTTTCCATTTTATTTATTTAATGGAATGAATTAAAGAATTATCTTATTGGTAACCAAGATAAGTTTAGAAGTACACACTCTAAACTTAACCTCTACATTGACAAGCTCATTATTTTACTTGTAGAAAAGGTGTACTATAAACATTTAAGTCTATTTCTTTTTGCATAGCAAAGTTTGTGGGTAACTATATTCTATTTCTTAAATTAACTATTTCTTTTTTTTTTCGCTCCCTCTTTTGTGGGATCGTCCCACTTTTATTTCATCATAAAGTCATAACTATGTAGATTTATACGTAATGTCTACATTTTAACAGTTATTGTATATATTAAGTAAATAATAGTATGAAATATATATCTGTTATGTAATTACTAAGTACTGTACAATTGTTCAGACATTGACTATTGTATTCTTTATTTTTTTTTTTTTTAAATATTTTCTTCTATTTTTTGTCTTCAGTAGAAGTCAACCATCACTCATTTATTTATCTAATTACATATATTGATTTAAACTTATCAAGATCGACCATGGACCATTTATTTTTTGCTTTTTCCGTATTAATTAAAAATTCACATGTAATTAGTCTGTTTAGTTCAGATAAAAACATCACCCAAGGACATTTTGTCCTCAAACCTAATATATTCATTATTTTAACTTTATAAATACAAAATGTCAAAATTGAAATCATTTCGTTCAATTGTTTGCTATAGCTTCCAGTAACGATTTTGATCCATTGTACTTATCATATCATATATTTTAAAACATGATCGCATCATATTGTGTAATTTCGTCCAACATGCTTCTATATCTTTACATTTAAATAGCATGTGCTCTTCATTTTCAGATAGTACAATAACTCACATAGATTGGTTGCAGATAATTTCCATACATTTAGTCTATGTTTTGTAGGTAGCATGCAATGTAAAAATTTAAAATTGAACTGTGCAATTTTTTTCATATGTAACATTGAATTAATTTTACTCTTCCAACATAGGTCCCAGTCTATTACATCCATTTTCAACTCCATTTCCCACCTTTTTTGAGCATTTGGTATAATATATTTTCCATTTATAAATGACATAAAAATCTTTAACTTTTAGTTTACTTGTGGAAGGTGTATCAATAATTTGAACATTTCTGTGCATTAAACAAAAAGGTTGGTGTGCTACCATCTTTTTCCAGTTTCTTGGAATTACCATCATTAACACCATGTATTCTATTATACCATTTTCTTTTATTAAAAGCGGGGGGATAACTTCATCCAGTTTTGAAAATCTATTATATCATTTCATTTCATTTCAGCAACATTTATTTCTTTCATCTTTCTTTGATATATATATATATACATACAGTAGAAAATAATTAAATTGAGCAATAATAATAATATCAGAATAACTGTATAACTAATAGCAATTAACATATAAACAATGAAAGAGGCAACAGCCCTGGAAGTAAATTCGGTTTAAAGGTTAAACCGAAACTTGTGTCGAGCTAGCCAGATAATAGACAATAACAGTAAATTTGAAAACACATCAAAAACAAAACAACAAGAAAACAACAGACGAACACCAGGAAAGATGGAAAAAAAGAGGGCAAAAGACACGGAAGCACTGGTTAATAGCTGGACAAATTTTAAGGAAAATTAATCATAAAAGGATAAGAAATGAGTTTTTAATTTATTAAGGAATATAATAATTGAAGGGGCAGATGAAATTCCTTTAGGAAGCTTGTTAAATAATTTCGATCCACTATACCGGATGTTATGCTGTAGGAGTGTTAGCTTGTACTGGAAGAGATGGATTTCATTGGAGGTCCTGGTATTATAAGAATGGATTGAAGAATTATGAATAAAATTGCAAGAGAAGTTTGATGGAAGAAGAGAATATATATTTTTATAAACAAAAAGGCATTGCTGAAGCTTATTATTAATGTCATGAACGGTTAACAAATGAAGATTAGAAAATAATTTGTTAGAATGGGCAAGATGATGTGCTCCGGAAATAAGACGGACGGCCTTTTTTTGAAGAAGATGTATTTTATTTAGGTTGGAAGAATAGTTATTAGCCCAGACAATATTGCAATAACTAATATATGGAAGAATAAGAGAGCAATAAATGTTACGAAGAATATGTGATGGTAAAAAAGAAGAGAGACGATAAAGTATGCCTATGTTCTTTGAAATTTTGATTTCGATATCATTTATATGGTATTTATAATTTAGTTGATCATCAATTTCAACACCAAGAAACCTGTCTCTTATACACATCTAGATGTGTATAAGAGACAGCTACTAGACTATATATTTAAAAATTCC